GAAGGGAGGGACTCTCTCGGCACCCGTACCCCCAGTTTCTGCGGTTTTCAGCTCTTTACATCCCTCTCCTGCCAGGCTCAGCGCAAAAGCCAAAGTCTCTACAAAACCTTCACCGATAAACCAGCCCACTGCGCTCCAGAAAGCCCTGCTAGCTCCATTGATGACCAGCCACTCAAGGCTAAAATCGTCTCTGTGCAGATTTTCTTCTCTCAACTGCCATCTTCCCGGACTCAGAGCAGCGATGAGCATCTCCAGCTAAGCGGTCCCCATGACCGCTTTTAACTGGATCTGTTCTGCAGTGCCTGACAAGGCACGAAGCACCAAACGGTCAGAACCCCGCCTTCCAAAATGTCGTGCGCAAGAAAGGGGCCATACATTTTGGGTTGGATGGACACAATGCTCCTTCAAAGGAATAGCTGCTAGCCAAACGGGATGCTGTGTTTCAATCATTAAACACAATTTACGTCCCCTGACTTTGAAACACAGAATCTACCATTTAATGCTAACCATGACCACTGGCAGCACACAGCAGCACGCCTTCAGGAGTTCCAGAGTTGAGTGGATTCCTGAGCGGTCCCAGAATATACCTGTCTAGTTCTACCGTCCTCTAGTGAATGGACAGTCAGTGGGCATGTCTCAAAAGGCACTTTGCAACAACAACTCAGAAATGGGTAACTCTCTGGGCTGTCACCCAGACGGACTTACTGGAAAAGCAATCCCTAGGCTCGAACTCAGCAATCTACATATCTTTAAAAACCTAGGAGGTATGGTGGTTACCGATTGGGCTACTCATCACAAGATCAGCGGTTTGAGACCACCAGCTGCTCTGAGGGAGAAAGATGAGGCTTTCTACGCCTGGAAAGGGTTACAGTCTCGGAAACTCGCAGGGGAAGTTCCACCCTGACTTCCAGGGTCTCTGTGAGTGAATAGGAATGGATTCAGTGACAGTGAGCAAGGAGATTCTGGAGAGAGGGCAGGTTTAGCAGCTACTCATCTCTTCAATGAGGCCCAATACAAGCCCTCTCCCTTCAGACACCAACTGTGAAGCAGGCACTAGTCATAATGTATGTGACTAGCAACACTCACTGTGTGGAGTGATCCCAACTCCAGGGGACCCTACACAGGGGTTCCAAGGCTGTCCATCTTTCTGGGAGCAGTGGGTAGGTTTGAACCAATGGCGCTGCAGTAAGCAGCTTAATGCCTACGAGACACTCTATCTTAATGCCAATGGGCATACTCTATCTTCACCCTGCAAGGACTGCCCTAAAAACAGTACAGTCGATCCGCAGCCAGCAAAGGGGTGAAGTCAACCTGCATGAGGCACTTACTGCGTGTAAAGCGCTGCTCTTTGGACATCCCAGAAGGGCCCTCGTTCCAGGGCAGCATCCTCGCGCCCTCAGTCGCTGGTAGCACCGGAATGGCAGGGCGGCAGCCTTGGCTGTGAACTGAGAAGGATGATTAATTATTGCACAGAGCCGTGTGGCCAGCTGGCAGGGTTATAATTAGGACAGCCCTTGGAGAGGCTCTCTGTCCAGGGGAAGAGGACTCGCACGGATGACCTCCCCACTCTTCCAGGGAAACCGTCTCAAGGGCTGAGTCTCTCAAGGACCCAGCTTGCTTTTATCTGTCTAGAAAAGCCATCGGAGGATGCTAGCCTAGCTCTGGTTCTCTTCAGTTTAAACCTCCCGAGCTCGGCGCCCTTCCTCACACGGCCCAGCAGATGGGCAACCCTAGCCTTAGGGGTGGACCCACTACTCAGCGTGGCACCGCACATGGTCAACAACGCTCACTGAGTTTGAGGGCTTTGGCTTTAGTTATGCCCCCCCACCCTCGTGGGAGGGGCTCCTTCGTTCGTCTTTTTCTTTAAGCTAAGGCAGGCACGAGGGGGAATGAAACGAGGCCTTAGCGAGGAAAGAACAAATATGGACCGACAGCGTTGGACCAAAAAGCTAGTATTTTTCCTTTGTTCATCAAACTGCAGTGTCGAACGGAGAGCAAGTACAAAACAGGCCTGCCCAAGGCAGGGCGGGATGGTTGGGTTTCAGAGGAAGCATCAGCTCCGGCAAGAGGTTTAAAAGAAAACGCCCACCTTTTCCTAATTATGGCAGGGCTACGCATGTACCTGTTCTCTGAATGTGTTTGGGGGCCTTATTTTAAGGCTCCAAACATCAGCGGTAAACATCATGTGCTACTGCACCCAGGAATGGCCACATTGCAAGAATGAAACACCGCGTCTGTTGCTAGAGCGGCCGGGACACAAACACCCTAAACAGCTCATGTCACAGAGCGACCTCGGAATTAGGGGTGTGGGGTGGGGGGGTGTGGTCTCTCTTCTGCCCTATACATTTTTTTAAATAACACTGTATTGTGCTTTCAGTGAAAACTTTCACACCAGATTACGTTTTCATTTAGCAGTTTCTTTTTAACTTGTTCAGTAATGTTGGTTATTTTATTTTCAATCCAAAAGAGGGAAAAAAAAGCAATAGAACAAATGAAGAAAGGCTTAAAAAGGGAAGAGCGGAGACATTCACATTGAACTTAACTACATCTGCCGTCATCTGTCGCGCCTTTGTATAAGACGCCACCGGAAAGGGGTTAGGGCTAGGACCCACCCTACTCTGGTGGGGCCCTGTGAACATCACACAGGAAGCCCCCTACTCTCCAAACAGGGTCCTATGACCGGGGTCGGGCTGCCACGTTACTTCTGTGGGACAGAATCAACCCATCACAGATAGAAGCAGCGACACCAACCAAAGCACAAGGGAGCCGGCTGCGTGCCAGTTTCAGACCTTCCAGAATGAGGAGTGAAGGAAAAGAGCACTAGATGGGAGCAAGAACACATCTGCTCAAAACCAACTCTCCAACGAGGCCCTCGCTGGGCTTCTAACAATGAGGCGTGCTGCCAAGCCACCCACCAGTGGCTTATCCCCAGCGACGGGTCCATACCACACAGGGTCGCTAGGAGGCAAGTTCCCAATTTACCGTGCCACCAGAAGCAAAGAGGCGCAGAGGGGATGCCAGACGGACTCTTGAACTATCACACTGCTAACGCTGGCCCCCGGCTGTGGCCAAACAAGCGCTGTAAACTGCTGCCACGGAATCCCTTCCAACTCTCACGTTCCAGGACCAAAATTCTTCACAGGGACTGATAGCCTCACCAGGGAGAGGCTGGTGGGTTTGAAATACCCACGTTTTGGCTAGCCCTTGCCAAGTCCAACGCTTGCCTGAGCACAACTCCAGAGCTCAGGTTGGCAACCAAGTGTAGGAAGGGCCAAAGGGCCGATCAAAGTCAGAGGCCCAATCCCAGGGAACCTCTCACATGGAGAACCAATGGGTGTCTACAGCCACTGAGCAGACACGCTTCCGGTGCCTATCCGGACAGGATTTAAAATGCACTGGGATGACGACTATCTACCTCTCGGTCTTTCTCGGAGCTTCTGAGGCCCCTGGAAGGGATGCCCCCCAGGATTCTTGGTAAAACATCACCTTTACTCAATTCTGCCGTCAAGTCAATTCTGACTCATAGTGACCCTATAGGGCAGGGTGTGGGTTTCCGAGACTGTAACTCTACTGGAGTAGAAAGCCTCATCTTTCTCCTGCAGAGCGCTAAGTGGGCTCAAACTGCTGACCTTGTGGTTAGCAGCCCAATGTGTAACCCAACCAGGACTTCCCAGCAAGATTGCACCGATATCCAGTACGTAAGCCACAGAGGCAAGCACAGCAATAAAAGGCAAAGTGCTCTCAGGACTCCCGCGCTCGGGATTTGTGCTACAACTGGGAGGGCCTTCAAAAAACACCAAGCTGGGTTATAACGGTTTCATTTTTAAAAAAGCCACGTCACCTCTTTGGGCCTAAGATCCCTCTTCTACAAAAGAGGTCTTGAAGTCCAATGCGTTCAACAGTCCCTTGGACCCGCAGTTGACTCACAATCCAGCAGCAAGGTCTGCTCTGTGTACTTTCTTTCGCGATGCCCACTAAAGGCATCCACACGCCGCTAGCCACGCCCACACCCGCTAACCACGTCTGTCCACGACTCCTAAGGGCGCCCGCTGCTAGCTGCACCCGCCCGCCACGAACCAGTGCCACATGCGGCGAACCACAACAGTACCCCCACCTTGACCACACGCCGCAAACCCTGCCGGCACCCCGCCGGAAACCTAACCACGCCCACACACCGCTCTCCATACCCACGCCCCCCTAACCGTGCCCGCACACCGCTAGCCACGCCCACATCCCCCGCTAACCACACCAGCAGCAGCTAACCACGACCACTCACCCACTCGCCACTCCCCAGGTTTGCACCCCCTAACTGCTCCTGCTAACCACATATGTGCACCGCACCCGCACGCAGCTAACCATGATCATCCGCCGTACCCTACCCATGACCACACGCTGCGAACTCCGCCTGCAGCCCGCTAACCACGCCTACACGCCCCTAGCCTGGCCCGCGCCGCCACCACGCCCGCACCCCGGCACCCCCTAACTTCGCTCACATGCCGCTCTCCATTCCCACATGCAGCCAACCGCGCCCGCAGCCCCCCCAACTATGCCCACGGCTATCCATGACCACAGGCCGCTAACCACACTTGCACCCCCCCAACTGTGCCCATAAGCCGCTGTGCTCACACCCCGCTAACCACGCCCCCACCCCTGCTAACCACGCCTGCACCCCCGGCACCTCGCTAACCACACCCCAATCTCCCATCGGCACCCGCGCCACTTTCCACGCCCCCACAGTCTAATTGCGCCCACGTGCCGCTATCCACGCCCCCACGTCTCTAACCACGCCTGTATCCCCCACCAACAGCACCCTCGTGTTACTAGCCACGCCCACCCGGTCCTAATGGCGACTGCACCCCACCGAAGGCGTGCGCTCGGCCCCCTCAAGGGGGCTGGAGCGCATCGGCTCCCACGCTACCCAGGAACGCATCGAGCGCACATAGAAGAGCGGTCCAGTGGGCCAGCACGCGCTCCAGGTACCCCAGGCCCGGCTTTGCCGGATGAGGGTTTCGTACCAAAGACTGTTCCGCTGGGCTTTCGTAGGCACCCAGAAACCCGTTTGCTTTACTCAGAGCAAGGCTCATCTCCCATCGTGCCCTCTGCTTCAAGCGCGGTGGTGGCTTCCGCCCGCACTCTTCCTCCCGACAGCTGGCGAGGCCCATTGGGAGGCTGCTTGGCTTCTTGCTGCACCAACAGCGTCCACCACGCCCCCACCCTGATCGCTGCTTCCGCTTTTGCCACTGCGCAGTCCCAGATGGGCTGTAAGCCGCCAGTTCACCGTCAAGGAGTGGTGGGTTCCCACTCGCCTGCGGCCCTCTACTCATGTGCTCTTTCCGGAGGGAGGGCAGCAGACGTGGACATTGCTATTCCTGCGTGGCCTGCCTGAATTCTCTGGGATGGAAAACGCTGGACTGATTTGCTTCTGACCCACCACAAGGTACCCTACCCACTCTATGAATGTGGCTGTTAGTACCCTTTTTACAGCCAACGGGCAAAACCCAGTGTGCAGTGATCTGGTCAAAGCAGAGGGTAGAGGTGAGGGTGACAATAGACGGTTTGGTCTGTCCCGACATTATGGATTCCTTTGGGCTTACAACCTGTCAGTCTACCAATTACCTGGATTCTAGATGCCAGTCAACTCCATGTACAGTTCTAAAAACGTGGAAGATCAGATGCTTTCTACATAAAAGGAAAGTTGGCCCAAATGAAGAAGAGCGTGATTCTTCAAACACTGCCACTGAAGCCAGAGGATTCCAATGAACAAAAATAAGGTGCAAAAAAAAAGGTTGCATTTTAAAGCATGTGCCTAAGAAAGAAAATGCTAGCCCAGGGTGAAGGTTCAAGATTGTCACCCACCTGCTCCACAGTGAGGGAAAGGAGGCTACCGTCCAAGAGCACAGAATAAGCTACAATCAGAAATTAAAATAAAAAGCTATCTTTATTTATAATAGCACCAAAAAGATGAAATATTAGGAGTATTTCTGACACAAGTATTTGCAACCCATGTATCTGTGAGCACTGGTATCCAGCACACGCAGGAGCGGGGAGCACTCCACAGTAACCGCAGCCGTCACAGCTGCTCGGCTGCAGAGGTGCCACCGGTGGCTGAGGCTTCACTGGGCGGTTGGAATCGTAAGGCGACGGGGTGCAAACCCACAGCTGTGAAAAGAACCTCAACGGAAGGAATCACCTGCTCTTCGCTGCTGTCCATTCAGCCCCTGACTCTTGGGAACTCTCCATCCAGTGACTATGAACTCTCCATCCAGTGACTATCAAACTGCTGAGATGGGCAGGGTTTTCACAGGCTACTTGTGCCAGCAGCCTGACGAGCCTCGCTTCCTAGTCCCCAATCAGTAATTAAATACCAATAAAACCATTGTGCGGTTCCATATCATCACTACCAATTACAATGGCTAAAACTTGCAAAAGATGGGTCAGAATGCCAAGTGTAGGCGTGTGGGTGGAAACATACAAGATACGACGGCTTAGAAAAATCTGTCAATTTCTTAAGCAGTGACATGAGTTAAGACTTGGGTTGCTAACCTCCAGGTCAGTAGTTCAAAACCAGCAGCCACTTGGAGGGAAAAAACTCAGGCTTTTTGTTCCTGTAGTTACAGTCTCGGAAACCCTGCAGGCCGTTCTGTGATGTCTACAACGTGTCTGTGAGTTGCGCTCCACTCGAAGGCAGTGAGCTTGGCCTTTTGGTTTGAAGTACTTACCCAATGGAAATGAGATCAAGTCTCAGAGGTGTGCGCAGAATCTGCCCGGTACCTGCATTTGCCAAAGCCAGTAAGAAACAGACCCAGTGTGTTCCGACAGAAGAATGGATGAACACCCAGTGTGTACGTGTACACACACATTGCAACACCACTGACACGCAATGCGGCCACCCAGATGCACCTTGGGATAACCGGCTGTGGGCTCAGTCAGCCTAACCAACAAGCACATGCGTGTCCTTGTCCTCACGTGCTGCAATGGGAAACATCAGCGGCTGTACTCCAGACTCAGGGCCACTGTGACAGAGAACCCCAAACAGGGGGCACAATACCAAATCGGTTTATTTTCGCATGGTTTGGGAGCTCAGAAGCCCAGAGTAGGGCAGGGCAGGGCAGCTTCCCACCCTCTTGCAGCCCTGAGGCCCTCTATGCTCAGTCTTCCCTGGGTGGGCTTTCCCGGCAGCTCTCCTGCAAGTGAGATCAGGGCACACCGGACTCGTACCATCTGCAAAGATACCATCCCAAAGTAGGTCCTGCTCACTTGAGCATCTTTTTTGGGGGGCACAATTGAACCTGTACCAGTGGATGCTTGAAGACTGGGGGTAGGAGGCCACACCCAGAAACTGTGTGTGTGTGCTAAAGTGATGGATATGCTCAGCGTATTGATTGTGATGATTTCACTGGTATGGACACAGTATCAGAACTGACCGACCTGCACACTTCTTAAGATGTATGTACAATTCATTGCTTAAGAATTAGATTTTTGAGTCACTCACTGTCTCCCTCACTCACTGTCTCACTCTCACTCAGTCTCTCTCTGTCTCACTCACTCACTCACTCACTCACTGTCTCACTCACTCTCTGTGTCTCACTCACTCACTCACTCACTGTCTCATTCACTCTGTGTCTCACTCACTCACTGTCTCACTCACTCTGTGTCTCATTCACTCACTCACTGTCTCACTCACTCTGTGTCTCACTCACTCACTCACTGTCTCGCTCACTCTGTGTCTCACTCACTCACTCACTGTCTCACTCACTCTGTGTCTCACTCACTC